ATTTTTGAAACTTCCAAACAGAAGGCTCCAGGGATTTGGCAAGCCCTGGGCATGACTTTCTGCTGCTCCAGGCAGGGATCCACAGAACAGCCGCCTCTTTGGTTAGTTGCTCCAGCCCTGCCCAGCACTGCCCTGAGCCACCTCACCCTCCTGCTCACAAACCCTCACACCCACCTCAACGTTCAGTGCCTGAAGGGCACAAACTAGTTCAGTATTATTTGAGGGAATCTCTAGTTATAAACTCTATGCAGAAGGACAATGATCCTGCTCACAAACCCTCACACCCACCTCAACGTTCAGTGCCTGAAGGGCACAAACTAGTTCATTATTATTTGAGGGAATCTCTAGTTATAAACTCTATGCAGAAGGACAATGACGATCCTTTATTCACAAAGTATTTTGTTATTTAGAAAATACTTTCACATGCATTAGCTCATATAATCCTTAGTTGGAATTACTGTCCAGGAAGCAACATGCATGAACTCAGACTAGTAAAATTCAATTATCTTTCAGGCTGGCTATCCCACCCTGTCCTTTTCCATCATGCTGGTTGATTCATAAAAGGGAACAAGTAAAAACCTGCCATAGTATGGCCCCAGTTTCTGGACCTCAGTCTCCAAAAGGGGTGCACACCTCACCCCAGTTCCTTCTGTTCTGACCCACCTCTTCCTTGGCCTGGTCTCCAGCCTTTGGCCTCCATGTGTTCTCTCTGGCCTCTTCTTGGAGACCTTTCTTTCTTCCAGCTCCCCACAGGCTAAGGATGAAGTGATTTCTCTCAATTCCCTTTGTGCTAGAAACACAAGGCCCTTTATGCCTTATACCACTTTCAGAGAGAAACCCTCTTTATATGCAGCCATCCAAATCCTGAGTCTCGGATACCTGTGATTCATTCGTATATAATCCTTATCCTTTTCAAACAGCAGTAATATTAACTAATGCTTACTACTTTCTACAGGGCAGGTGTGACACTCTGTGCTTTCTATGTATTATGTCATTCTATCTTCACAAGACATATAAGGGAACTACTATGAGTATGCACATTCACATATGAGACTGAATTTAAGCAACTTTTAGCAAGAGGACTCTATTGATCCCACAGCCCTGAGCTGTCTGTCTTCTGCCAGCTTCATACCTCCATAAATTTAATTGAATTCCTTAGAGACACAATTTTTGTTTTGTTTTGTTTGTTTGTTTGTTTGTTTGTTTGGTGGCTGGCCAGTACGGGGATCCAACCATTGGCGTTGGTGTTACAACACCACACTGTAGCCAACTGAGCTTTTTTTCTACTTTGTGAAGTAGAGCTATTCACAATTTACAGATAAAAGGCTCAGAGAGGTTAGGTAATTGGCTTAAGCTCAGGTAGGAAGTAAAGAATGGAACCAGATTTTGCATCAGGCACCAGACTGTCCCCACTCAGGTCTCCAAGTCAGTCCAGAAACCAGGGGACCATTCTCTGTAATGCGTCCCTGATCGAGGTTCTTGCTCTCCTCCGCCCTCCTCTCCAGTCATCGTTCAGCCCATCCTCTTCTCCCCACTTCTTCAGTCACCACCGTAATTCAGATTCCTGCCTTCATTCACCTGGATAGCTAGGGAAGAAGATTTTGGAATGTTGACTGATTCCAAAACAAAAGATTAAAAATTACAGATGACTTTTTTTTTTTTTTTTTGTCTTTTTCCGTGTCCGGCAACGGATCGCAACCCTCAGTGTTGCCCCCGTACCGGACCGGAGACCGGCAATGGGATTGCAACCCTCGGTGTTGCTCCTGCGCCTCA